CCCCCTGGTCACGGCCGACAATTGGTCATCCAATGTCAGCCGCGGATCCAGGAGGACTCCCAAGTTGCGCACCCTCTCTGAGGGGGCCAAGGTTTCGCCCCCTATAGACAGCGATGGCGTCAGCTGGCTATGCCGAGGCGCCGGCAACCACAGCCACTCGGTCTTGGAAGGGTTGAGCCTGAGTCTGTTCCTCCCCATCAGAACCATGTTTCTCTATTCTTTCTCGGTCTCCCCTATTGGGATACATTTTAGAGGGGTTGAGTAGCCACTATTATTATTAACAAAAGGGTGGAAGTCAGTGCTCATTGCCCCCCTTCCAAGAAAATTATCTCAAACCAAGGCAGGTAATCAGTACAGTGGTGATTCAAGTGTACGCTCCCGCCACAGAGGCAGAGGACACAGACTATACTTGCAAGTCCTTTGCTAAGGCAACTTCTCCATCAAAAAAGGACATCAAATTAATTACTGGAGATTGAAAGGCTAAAGCTAGAAATAAAATCAAGGATTGGAATGATGTAAAGCCTCAGTGTGTGAACTGAAACAGAAATCAAGCTAATAAAGTTATGATAAGAAATCTCAATATTACACTATTACAATGTTTTGTTTTGTTTTTTATTTCTTATCTCTAAACCACATATCTCCCCCGAGAGAGGGACACTGCAATACTACTATCACTACATTACACAATATTCAATATGCACTGATGATATTACCTAGTTCATCTGCAAGAAAACAACCAAGCTCAGAGAGGACCAAGGACCCCTCATCTCAACCTTGAGCTACAAATATTCTCTTCTATCAGTTCCAATATTAACAGCAAATATCTCCTTCAACATTGTAAAAGACAACTCCAAGCACAGAGCTACACATGAACTGCACAGACAACATCAAAGTCAGATTAACCATATAAATCACGACCACGATGGAAAAGTTTTATTCGGTCAGCAAAAGGAAAATCTGGTGCTGAGTAGAGGTCCTCGTATCATGAAGTCCTTGAAAAATAGTAACTTACAACAATTAAATGAAAAGGATAAGACTGCGCCCCTCCCCCCCAGGAAAGATACGCAGACTTGGCATAAATATATAGAGAATAGGTTCAGAAAGGTTTCAAAATTGCTGAGACAGGTAGTCCTCACTTTAACCATCTTAACTGGCACTGGCAACTCTACTGCTAAGAAGTCGCTAAGTGGGAAACGACATGGGTGGAAAGAGACTACTCGGTTTCACGCCTTCAGCTTTTGTTTGCTTCCTAACTCTCTGCGGAGATTCTCAGTCATCCAGGTCACAGTTGCCTCAGAGGTGCTTTTTCAAAAGGCAACTGGACTGTTTTTTTCCTTCAGGAAGAAGAACAAAACATTTCGTTTCTCGTCCAAGAAGCTTCATCAGTTGTGACGGTGGGGGGGGGGGGGGGGGGGGGGGGGGGGGGGGGATGGAAGGATAGGTATTGACAGTTAAGACTGGATGGTGGGGGAATGGCAGGATAGGTTCCGACCGGATTGGAGGAAGGGGGATGGAAGTTTGCCTCCTAACATTTCCCCTTTAGAACGCTCCGGAGCCTGCTTAGTGTCTTGTGCACATCAAAAGCAGTATGATCTTGCTGGCAGCCTGAGGGAGGGGGAGGGGAGAGAAAAAACAAGCAATTTCTATTGACAATCTCTCCTTTGTCTCGCCCTTTCCTGTAGCCAGTGCAATCGCATGGCTATTGATGTGTACAAGCGCAAACAGTTTACTCTCTTGAAATCCCTTCCCCTCCAATCTCTCTGCTCTGCTGAGGGGATGGGGAGGAGGGTGAACTTGAAAGGTCTAATCCAGTGATGGCGAACCTTTTAGAGACTGAATGCCCAAACNTAAAAAATACAGGTCTCACAAATGTCTCTGAGCACAGAGAAACTTCAAAGTTCTTCAGTGATGTGAAACAAAAATTGAAATGGAACCATAAAAAGAAGTCTTTATTTTACCAGACCGATCTTTTTGGCTTCTGTTTCATATATTAATAACCTCCACATTTTGACTATAAAAACTTCTGCTTCTTCATCTAGCACCTGTATGAGAAATAGAAAATTTCAAATTTAGGGCATGATCATTGCTATTATTATTCTGGATTCATTTTGTAAAAACAGCAGTTTTGTTTTCTGATAAAGTATTACAAGTTTACACTGGTAAATTCTTGCTTTTACTCACCATAGCAACATCATCCAGGATGCTTTGTGGTGCACTATGAGCCATAACCTGAAAGAGAGATACATAGAAATTGTCTTAGTATTTTAAACACTTTGAAAAATGGAAGCACATGAGATTTGGAAATGATATCAGTATAACAGAAAAACTCAAATTATCTTAAAACTATCAAGAACAAGTCTCACTTCTGATTTCCAATAAAATGGTTTTCCAGGTGCACTCTAGTCTAGCAGATATGGCACTTATAAGTCTCCACACTTAATATGACAGACAGACAAAATGCTAATTATTAAATGTAATGTTAACAGGCATTTCAGTGTTTATTAAGAAGGCATTATAGTACACCTGAGACAGATGTTACAAGTGGACAGCATGTCACAGGCAATCTCAGTAGGAGCATACCATAGTTCTCAAAACACATGATCAATAAAAAGTGCTATATGGGTCCATCAACAGATTTCTGATCTAAAGCCACCAATTAAAACACCAAAAGATGACTGACTGATTTTCCCCAGCAAGTCTTCTATCAGTAAATTTTATAACAGAGAATAGTAGAGATGTGAAAAATGGAGCACCTAAACATTAAGTCAGCCATTACACAGTGGTTCTTAAAAGTTTGTGAATCCATTTGAATTTTCAAAATTTCTGCATAAATATGACCTAAAATGTGATCAGTTATCCGAACAGGTCTTAAAACTAGAAAATCCAGTTAAACAAATGAGTCAAGAACATTATCTGTTTTCTTTATTGAAGAAATTGATTCAAAGCTATCAATCTGAGTGTGGCAAAACTATACAAATCTTTAGGATTATCAGGATGACCAATTCACTTGAAGTGGTACTTAAGAGTCAGATATTTCAATCAAAGGGATGATAATCAGGTATAAATATAAAAGGCCCTGCCTTATTTAAAAAAGAGAATCCTGGGTATTAGCTATAAAAGTCTGATTTTCCCAACATAGGTATGTGGAAGTGTGCCATGGCTTGAATAAAGGAGATTTCTGAGGATCTCTGAAAAACAGTTGTTGATGTTGAGTAGGCTGGAAAAGGTTGCAAAACTATTTTCAAAACGTTTGGATTCCACCATCCTCCTCTCAGACAGATCGTGTAAAAATGGATGCAATTCTGAATCTTTGTTATCCTCCCCAGGAGTGGTTCACCAACCAGGAGCAAGGCATGTAATACTCAGGAAGATTTCAAAGAACCCCAATGTTACATCTAAAGAACTAAAGGCCTCTCTTGCATTGTTGAATGTCAGTATTTATGAGACCACCATTAAGAAAACAGTGAACAACAATGGTGTGTATGGCAGGATTGCAAGGAGAAAGCCACTAAAAGACCACGTGGATAAGCCAGAAAGGTATTAGAATAATGTTCCATGGACAGGTGAGATAAAAAATACAACCATTTGGCTTGAATGAAAAGTGTTCAGAACACAGTTAATGTTTTAGAATGGCCAAGTCAAAGTCCTGACCTTAATCCTATAGAAATGGTGTGTAAGGATCTGAAGTGGGCAATTCATGCAAAAAAGCTGACCAATATCCCTGGATTGAAGCTGTTCTGCAAAGAGGACTAGGCTAAAACTCCTTCAAACTGAAGTACAGGATAGATTAACAGTTATCAAAATATTTAGTTGCAGTTATTGCTGCCCAAAAGGGCACACCAATTACTGAAAGCAAAGATTCACATAATTTTGCCACACATAAATATGTAGCTTTGGATCATTTCCCTCAATAAATAAATGAACATACTGCATTTTGACTCATTTATTTAACTAGCTTCTCTTTTAGGATTTATATGAACAGGTCACAGTTTAGATTACATTCTTTTAGAAATACTGAAAATTCAAATGGATCCACCAAGTTTTAAACACCACTATACACACAAAAGAATTGAGGCCTTTGAACTATGGTGCTGGAGAAGACTCCTGCGAGTCCCCTGGACTGCAAGGCGATCAAACCGATCAGTCATAGAAGAGATCAACCCCGACTGCTCTTTAGAAGGCCAGATCCTGAAATTGAAACTCAAGTACTTTGGCCACCTAATGAGAAGGAAGGATTCACTGGAGAAGAGCCTAATGCTGGGAAAGATTGAGGGCAATAGAAGAAGGGGACAACAGAGAATGAGGTGGCTGGATGGAGTCACTGAAGCAGTAGGCGTGAGCTTAAATGGACTCCAGAAGATGGTAGAGGACAGGAAGGCCTGGAGGAATGTTGTCCATGGGGTTGTGATGGGTCGGACACGACTTCGCAACTAACAACATACATACATACTAGAGGTATGCACAAAATATACTGCTTTGTTTCTAATCAGAACATGTTCTGCTGAACCATTTTGTATTGTTTCAACTTTCAGGTAAAACAAAATCCAAACATGACGAATTGAGTAAAATTAGTGTACATCACACACACACACACACACACACATTTCTCTTTTGAGAAGTTGCTACTGCAGCATAGAACACTGGATCACCAATCTCTGATCTTGCCAGAGCCTTTCTTTCTTTCCTCCTTTTACAAAGGTGCAGAAAACCGTTGGCCATATTCCAGAATATACTCTCCATTTACTTTAAAACAATAAAACTGAACAGACTTGGCGCACATGCCAAGCTGAAATCGTACTCTAGAACAACCATTCAAAATCTGATGCCTTCCCAAATGTACTGGAGGACAACTCTCGTCATCTCCAGTCTGTCTAGCCATATTTTCAGATTTGACCTCAAACTTACCCAGAAGATTCCAAGTTGACAACTACTGCTATAAAGAAATATTTTTCAGTGCCCAGCTATTCTCAATAAAGATAAACCACCATGACAGATCCAAAGATACTCTTCACTTTTACTTCCCAGATTGGAAGTGGTTCCATAATTTAAATTCTTGCTATAATATTTATTATTAGTACTCTTGTGCACAACCTTAGTAGCATTTGATATCACTAGCAAGTAATTTTACATATGCATTACAAACATACCTAAACAACAAGGCTGAGCATTTACATGTTTGCATACTAATATATTTTGTGTACTGCAGATGATATACTTACCTGTATTCACAGAACTCTGGTTTCCTTTTTCTGTCTTTTTTTTTTTTTGCACTGAACTTTTCAACTGCTATCAAGATTCTATTTTTTGCAAACAATAAATGCAGACGTGTAGGCTTTGAGTTGCAGAGTCCATCCCTTGCTCTCAATGCAGGAATCCAAATTAAAGTATCCTCAATAGACAGATTGTCCAGCATCTATTTTATTTATTTATTTATTTCATAAACTTCTATGCCGCCCTTCTCCCCAGAGGGACTCAGGGCGGCTCACAGCATGTTAAAAAACAAAACAAAAAACATTTCCCCTATAAAACCAATTAAAAAGCAAATATATTAATAGCTGTGTCATATTTAAAATCTTTAAAAAATTTTAAAAATTATTCCCTATTTAAAATTCACCCTAGGTCAGTCCCGCTTGTTGAAAAAGCCATGTCTTGAGGGCGCGGCGGAAGGTTAGGAGATCCGGAATCGTCCGGATCTTGGGGGGTAGCTCGTTCCAGAGGGTGGGGGCACCCACAGAGAAGGCCCTCCCCCTGGGGGTCGCCAGCCGACACTGCCTGGCCGACG